ATCTATCTATCTATCTATCTATCTATCTATCTATCTATCTATCTATCCATCTCAAAGTGGTGAACATACTTAATATTCCTGCATTTTAGTTTTGCCACAACAACCACTCTGTGAGGTGGGTTGGGCTGGGCCCAGAGCAGGGGGGAAGAGGGGAGAATGATGGGGTAGTTTTATGGGAGGGGCATGTACACACAAGCACCCATTAGTAACATGAGTGGGGCCTGAGCTCCCACAACGCTCTAGCAAGTGAGGTTCCAAATGCGTGTGATGCTTGCATACGTAAGGCCCTGAGCACTTGTATGACCTGGTCCAGTTGCAAATAGGTCGTGGACCAATAATGGGCCATGGCCCACAGATTGGGGATCCTTGCTGTAAAGCACTATAAAGTGGTATATGACTAAGTGCTACTGATATATTATGTTGCCAGCTTTGCATTTAATGCTAACTTTTGTCTTCTTACGTTCTTTCTGAATAAATTGGTCAATTCTGGGCTTTTCTCATAAATGGCACCAAACGTGAGGAGCTAGCTTGATTCAGCACTAAGCCTTACCAAGGCTGAGTCTTCACCTTGCCTATTGAGCTTCGAGGTTATGGCAATGAGAGATGCTCCTAATGCATCCTGGACCTGAATGGTTGCAAGTACATGGCTAGTCTAGTGAAGAGAAGGACCAAGGGGGACATGATAGCAGTGTTTCAATATTTGAGGGGCTGCCACAGAGAAGTGGGGGTGTCAAGCTATTTTCGAAAGCACCTGTAGGCCAGACAAGGAATAATGGATGGAAACTGAATAAGGAGAGATTCAACCTGGAAATAAGGAGAAATTTTCTGACAGTGAGAACCATCAACCGATGGAACAGAAGTTGCCTTCTAAAATTGTTGGCGCTTCATCACTGGAAGCTTTCAAGAAGAGACTGGACTACCATCTGTCAAAAATTGTTTAGTGTCTCCTGCTTGGGCAGGGGGTTGGACTAGATGACCTACAAGGTCCCTTCCAACTCTGTTAATCTGTTAAAGTCCCTGGTGGCTTTCATGTCAATGGGATTTGAGCTCACAGTCTCTGGTGTCTAGGCCAGCACCTTCACTAGTACACTAAAATTGGCAGTGACCAAAGAATATATAAATAAGGACGGATTTGATTTTGATTTGAATCTGTTTTCCCCCTCACCCTTCTCTTTCTCTTTAAAAATATAAAACAGATGTATTAAGCTAAGCAGCTATCTTAATGCTTGTTTTTGAAAACTATGGGATATACTAATCTAATTCAGTGCCAAATGGTTGATATAGTTTTAGAAAATTATTTTAGTTAACATTTCCCTTTGCAATATAGTTAACTGTCTTACATTTTTCTTTAATTTATGTCTGTGACTTCAATAAATTGTTTATCTGCAAATTTGATTTAAAACACATTCCTTAAACTAAATCAACCATTATCTAAGCCAGGAGTGTCCAACCCATGGCCCACTGGCTGCATAATTGCCTAGGAGTGCTAGAAATGTGGCCCCATAAGATTGTAAACTTTTAAAATTATTATGTGCACATAGTATATATTTTATATACAGCCCAAGACAATTCTTCTTCACTCATTGTGGCCTTGGCAAGCCAAAAAGTTGGACACATCTGATTTAAGCTGTCTAGAACATTAGATGATGATAGCCATTTTTCTATATTCAGATATATCAAGACTGAAAAACACTAGTAGAAAAATATTTATTAAATATAATTGTGTTGGATTTTGAGCATAATTAATATTTGATTATATTAAACAGAGACTAATACACATATTTAGTGTACATATCTATATCTATATATCTATCTATCTAAAATATTTATTTGACTTTTTTTTTACAAATTTGTAGTATCAAACTGAAGTAAATTCCTGAGTGTTGATTAAATACATAAAAATGTATTCATGAACAAAATGGTTGCACTCATTAATTAATAGGATGTTGAATAATAATCTTCAGAATAGCTTTTGCTGCAAAATCACAAGGAGTTTGGTACAGTTAAATTTTTGGGTATTATTAAAGACTAATGGTATTCTAATCTAAAACCTAAAACTAAGAATCACATGAAACTATAGATCAGGGGTCTCCAAACTTGGCAACTTTAGGAATTGTGGACTTCAACATCCAGAATTCCTCAGCCAGCAATGCTGTCTGGGGAAATCTGGGTGTTGAAGTCCATAAGTCTTAAAGTTACCAAGTTTGGAGGCCGCTGCTATATATAAATTAGAGAATGGTACCTTATATGATTTATTTTTTCTTTTTAATAATAAAATATTTTTTCTTGGTTTTAAAATTAAAAAATTATTTTTTTCATTAACTAGTATAGAAAATAGTTGTAAGAAAAATTAGGATAATCTGGTGATAAAATGTTCAATTTGAAATCCATTTTTAAAAGTACTTCTATATTATGAAAATTGCTAACTTTCAGTTTAGGTTAGGATACTTGAATATAGTTTTATTCTTTGCAAGTGCCTATAAAAAGTTAATGTTCTTTTACTATTTTCTAGATAGATGATAACCAGCCACTAGAGTATTTGTCAGAGCTACGTCCTGTTACCACTGTTTTTGTGAATATGCAGTTTGAAGAAAATGCCAATACGCACCATGTGTGTAAGGCTATCCAAGATGCCAATGCTATGATCTCTGGAACAATATTGCCCCTTAGTGGTAACATTAATAAAGTCTTCATGTTTGACAAAGTAAGTCTCCTATAGAGGTATTGTATCAATAGGTTCTGTCATGTATCAACAGAGCAAAACAATGAATTTTCAATAAAACTAACTGATAATTTGGAAAGCATATGCACATAAATATGCTTTGTTTTATTAGTTGCTATTTTTGATTTATATTGTTTATATTGTTCAACTGTTTATTATGTTTTTCAATATATGTATTAAATAGAGTAGAGTGGACTGGGGGTGGGGTGGGGTGGAGTGGAATGGAGTAGAGTAGAGTTGAGTAGAGTAGAGTAGAGTAGAGTAGAGTAGAGTAGAGTAGAGTAGAGTAGAACAGAACAGAACAGAACAGAACAGAACAGAACAGGATAGAATTCTTTATGGCCCAAGTGTGACACACAAGGAATTTTTCTCCGGTGCCTAAACTCATATTGTACATACAAACAGCAAGTAATAGCTCAGATATCATAAACCATTGTTATAATAATTAATCATAAGTTACAAACAATTGATAAATCAGAACTTCCGATTGACATTGCAACAAGATCGGACACGAGGAGCATGTCTCTGTGCTCCCGTGCCCAGTTCTCCCTGTTGGTGGGCTCTGAAAGGAGCCAAAGTCACCCTGTAGGGGCAGCAAAGCAAAGAGGGGTACCCTATGAGACCGCGGAGAGTTGCAATTCTCCTGCTGGACTCCAGGGTTATTTTCCCTCTTAGCCATGATGAGAAGAAGAGGCATCCTAAATATGGCTGCCACAAAGCTAGGGCAGCTGAGGAACACCTAAGACTCGTGCTGGAGCAGAGTTAGTGAACTGTGTCTGGAACTGGATGAGAGGATTCTTTCTTATTTAAAACCTAACCCCCAGGAGGAAAAATCCAGGAAAAGAGAGGCTCATAATTATTTGCTAAAGCAGTGACTAAGCACTTTGAGAAAAACTTCAGAATTGAAAGAAAAGAATTAAGGGGAAAATAGCAAAAGAAAAAAAACTTTTAAAAATACAGAAAATTGGACTTTTAAACTGAGCAGGCATTGTTCTGGAAAGGCATTTTAAAAATACTGGAACTATCTACCTAAAAACTAACTTTGTTTCTATATTTTGACTTATTATGTGATTAAAACTGGTTAACATTAAAACCTAAACTGAGAGTGCCATCTGTTGATGAAAGGAAAGTATAACGTATTCTTAAATCCTGGAAAATTCTGACAAGGATATGTTTTATGCACCTACAATGTGACTACTGAAGATTTAAATATGAGAATAAGGAAGATGTTTTCATTAAATAGACCCCTGATACAAGATTGAACCCATAAAGGGGATTTAAGGAGGTTCTGGAAAGCTTTTGGGATTATCTAAAAGAACAGATAGATTAACTGTGGAATACAAAAAATGTGAACATTGAATCTTTTGGGGAGTGACTTGAATATACGGTTTTTGGATTACTGGATTTTGGATTACTGGATTTTGACTTATTATGTGATTAAAACTGGTTAACATTAAAACCTAAACTGAGAGTGCCATCTGTTGATGAAAGGAAAGTATAACATATTCTTAAATCCTAGAAAATTCTGACAAGGATATGTTTTATGCACCTACGATGTGACTACTGAAGATTTAAATATGAGAATAAGGAAGATGTTTTCATTAAATAGACCCCTGATAGGGGTTAAATAGACCCCTGATTGTCTTTAAAACAAGACAAGATGCTCCATTAGGAGGAAATGAGTGGAACGTGGGAAGAAATGGCATCTATGTTCTAAAACATCAAGGACATTCTGATAAGAAACCACAAGGAGATTAAGAACTTAATGCATGGCATGGATGAAAAACTGGAAAATATTATACAAAAGACAATGAGTGATCAAGATGCCCAGGAAAAGGAGGAGCCAATTGAAAGAGCAGACGAAAAAGCAGAATAGATTAGCCAGCAAACAAAACAAGACAACAAAAAGGATACAATAACAAAAACAATAATGACTGATGAAATAAACCAAGGGGAAAATATTTTAAGAGATTTTTAAAGGGAACCAGAGATGCAGGAAGACATTTTTGAAAGGGAGATGGGGCATGGGTAGCTATTTTGGAAACTAGACAATGGAAAAGGGTAGAAGTGGGAGAAATGTTTAAAATGAATAGTCAAGACATAGATGCAGATAGGGATAAAGAGAGGAATATGGGAGGCAAGTTAAAAAATGAACCATTAAAGCTTTAAAGCGAACGAGAGATGACAGATAGAAAGGATTTGTTCTTAAATATAATGGTGACATGATTAAAAGTTAGAACAGGGATAAAGATAAGACAGAGGGGGAATATTAGTATACACATTTTTATATAATAAGATAAAAGTAATAATAAGGGAAGATTAGAAATTGAATAATGGTATTACTATGTATATTTAAACAATATTGTGATTGGCATTAGAATAACATATTGAAACATTGAATAATTAAATAATGAAAGTCTATAATTTAATACAAATATTTGTATTAACACTAGAACTACACAAGCTTCAGGAATGTAACAAATAAGATTAATATCACTATTTTTATCAGTACTAAAATATATGACACCCTGGTGTCACACTGTTCACGCATTGATATGGATATATTGTAAAAAAAAAACTTGAAACCAAAAAAAATGATAAATCATAAGACAACAATAGGAGAAGATAGTAGGAAAGATGAGAAGATGAGAAATGAGACAGTGCTGTGGGAATTAAGTGTTCAGCAGAGTGTTGGTACAGGGGGGAAAACTATCTTTGTATCCAGTTGTTTTGGCATGCAATGCTTTATAGTAACGTCTTGAGGGGAGAATTTGAAATAGATTATGTCCAGGATGTGAGAGGTCTGTAGATATTTTCTTAGCCTTCTTACTAGTTTGTGCAGCAGACAGATCCTCAACGGGAGACAGGCTGGTTGTGATTGTTTTTTGCAGTCCTAACTATCCATTAAATTCTGTACTTGTCCTGTGTGGTTGCTCTCTCAAACCAGACAGTTACTGAGCTACAAATGACAGATTCAGCAATTCATTTGTGAAACTGTATCAGCAGATCCTTGAGCAATCTGAACTTTCTGAGTTGACACAGGAAAACATGCTGTGTTGTGCCTTTTTAATGATTATTCTAATGTTAGGTGTCCATTTCAAGTCCTTGGAGATAATAGAACCTAGAAACTTGAAGATCTCAATTCAGGAGTGGGATTCTACTGGTTTGGACTGGGTCAGTAGAACTGGTTGTTCCTATACTGCTCAGTTTGGAGAATCAGCAAATCGTGCCCCTGGCTGGGCCCACCCATCCCCACCCAGTCAGTCTTTATTGCGCCTGCGCGACATCGTGCACATATGCAACATTGTTGACTGCATTCTCCCTCACCCACCCTGCCCCACCCCATTACGGTATTTCTTTTTTTTCCTCCCGATGATCAGCTCTTCTGATGATCAGCTGTGCTGGGATCCTCCTCACTGTCTTACTGCAAAAACAGCCTCCTAGGAGGCTTTCCCGAGGCCCAGGAGCCCCCCCCCAAATGGAGTGGGGGGTGCTGCAAAAAAAGAAGAAGCCATGCCCACTCAGTCACATGAACATACCCATCTAGCCACTCCTGTTAGGAATGATAGTCACCTAACAGTTGGGTTGGCAATATATAAAACAGGATAGTCATTTAATACTGTTGTATCTTTAAGAAAATGCTGTAATTGTGATTGGCTGAGGTTCCTCCAACAGCCATAAGATGGAGCCAGAAAACTGGTTTGTTCTCTTTTGCATTTCCTTTTTGCCTTTTGCCTGAATATCATTCTACTTGGATTGCTGTGAGTCTTGCAACTGTTTGCAAACTCTGTTTACTGAACTTTGTTTATGATACTGGTAAAGAAAAGAACTTCGTTTTTGGATTATCCCTGGACTGATTGTTTTGAATACTAACTGCTTTAACCGTATATGATTTGGACTGTTTGTTGGACTTTGTTTACCCATTTACTGGAAGTAAAACTTACATTTTACTATTCAGTGTATCTGTGTACTGGTTGTGTGTTATTCATCACCACTCTCACTATGTTTCCCTGAGCGCACTCATTTCTCCTAATGGGGAATACCTCAACACCTCCCACCTAGCCATGCCCACAGAACCAGTAGTAAAAATATTTGCATCCCACCCCTGTCTATATTGTTGGATCTGTGTTGTCTAATATTGTAAGAGGTGGCAGAATAGGACAGCTTCTTTGAAAATCTATTATTTCTACAGTTTTAAGTGTATTCAACTCCAGATTGTTCTAGCTGCACCACAGGGACAGTTGATCTACCTCCTATCTATATGTAGACTATACACATTTCAAATGAGACCAATGGCTGTTGTGTCATCTGCAAACTTCAGGACTTTAACAGAAGGATCTTTTGAGATGCAGTCATTGGGAGAGAGAGAGAAGAGTAATGGAGAGAGCACACAGCCCTGGGTGGCTCCTGTGCTAATTGAATGGGTAATCAATATGGTTTTCCTTAACTTCACCTACTGCTTCCTATTCATTAGAAAGCTTATAATGTATCTACGCACAGCTATCTGAGTCAATTTAGATAAGAGAATTTCAAGAATGATTGTGTTGAATGCTGAGCTGAAGCCTACAAAAAGAACTTTTACATAGTTCTTGTAAGAACTTGTTGTAAGATGTAGTGCAGTTTCCATACATTAGCTGGTTCATCCGTGGAGAGCTGATTCCTCAGCTTTTCAGAGTAGCTTCTCTTTGCTGCCCTGACCTCCCTTGTAATACATTCCTGGCCTGATTGTACAGTATTCTATTTCACTTCCCATAGACTTCTTTGCTATGGCATAGATGTTTGAACTTAGCTGTGAACCAAGGTTCATTATTATTGTAGATGTTAAAGTTTGGGGGTCAGTACACATAAGTCGTCACAAAAGCTAACATATGATGTCAATAGTATCAGTGAGTTCATCCAAGTCCGCTGAAGCAACTTCAAAAACATTTCAGTCTGGGTTGTTGAGGCAAGCGTATAACTTTAACTTTGCCTCTTCACTCTAAGACTTTACTGTTTTAGCTATTGGTTTTATGATTTTAAATCTTTGTATATAAATAAGTACAATGTGAATCATACAGTGATCAGAGTGTTCCACAGCCATTCTTGGTATGTTGAGTAGCAGTGGTCTAAAATATTCTTGCCACTGGTGAGACAGTTGACATGCTGAATGTATCTTGGCAGCTCCTGGCTTAGGTTAGCACTGTTAAAATCTCCTAATACAATGAGTAGCGAGTCTGGATATCTCTGTTCAGCCCACAGGATTTGGTCAATTAAGGTTTGCAATGCTTTATTTATGCAAGCTTGGGGTGGTATGTAGATACCACCTAGGATGAATGAAGAAAACTCTTGGGGGGAGGTTGTGAATATTAGGGTATGCAAGTGATGAATACAGTAAGTCCACATCACAAAATTTATTTAGCGTAGTGACATTTTTATACCATTGGTTGTTAATATAAAAGCAGATATCTCCACCCTTTTTTTAATGGGATGTTTCTGCAATTCTATCTGTTCTTTGAATCCAAAATCATGGGATTTGCAAGGAGCTATCATTAATGACAATTAATTTAATTAACACTTAAATAATTAATTTACAGTGATATATTATAATTTTACTTAGACAACTATAGGATAGCGTACCTTGATTTGAGAAACAGCATGCAACACTAAATAAGTAAATACCTTTTATGAATTGTATTTACCTATTCTTTGGAACAGACTTCTCTGATGTACTGTTTTCTCCTTCCCAAAAAGGGCTGCACTTTTCTTTGCATCTTTGGTCTTCCTGGTGACAAGCAAGCAGATGAAAGCACAAATGCTCTTGATAGTGCCCATAAAATCCATGCTTTCTGTTCCACAGCACTTATGAAAGTAAAGTAAGTAAATGAGAGTGGGATATCATGAACATATATCTGATCTTATGTAGTGCTTCAGCTCTAGCTTTCTATATCAAGAAATGCCAGGTTTGCATCCTAGTTCTAATTCTGTATTTGTAGGATCATGAATAGTTGTATCAGCTAAAGCCTGGGTTCAAATTTCAGGGGAAATTATTGGGACAATCGGCAAGCTATTTGGAGATCAATAACATTCATTTTTCTTTTCAGCCTATATTTGTTTCCTATCATTGCTCCATTTACGAGGCAGTTACTAACTCAACTTTGAGATGAGCTCTCTTTTTTTGGTTATTCATCATCTCTGAATTAGATGATGAATAACAAAAAATGTTAATCTCAAAGAAAACAGATGCATCTCTCCTACATTTTATTCTGTGTGCAGATTGTAAGTGGATTGCTTATATAACTAAAACTGCATCACCTGGCACAAAAGGAAGGTTATAGGAATATTTACTGAGGCAACCCAAGGTTTGTAAAATTACAGAAAATCTTAGTTAAAAATGACACACAATCAGAGAAAATTGTAAAATTGCTCAAGAATAGCTGACCATGTGCAATGGGTAGTGGATGTATGTGCATGGTTTTGAGGAATGGAACAAGAAAGTGAGGGATAGTGATGAGGATAGTCGAAAATGAAGATGCTGGGATTTTAAGCAAAATTCTTTGTAGATTTCATGTTGGATAGATAATTGCAGGTAAGTCATTGTTCCAGGAAATCTAAAGAAGTTTAGAGTCCAGTGCAGCCTATCATTTTCAAGAGATGTTTTTGCCCTCTTCACACATTCAGTTACTTTTGTTCCATTTTGTGTTGTAGGATTGTTTCTATTGGGGTCACTGGTGGGCCAGTTTTCTGTGGAGTCGTTGGTCATCGTGTGAGGCATGAATATACAGGTGCAATTGTAATGAATATAAATGTTAGCAGTCAAATAAAGTACTGGAAATAGTAATAATACACACACACACACACACACATATATATATAATATGTATGTATGTATGTATGTATGTATGTATGATTTAATAAATAGGTCAACCTGTTTTCCAAAGCACCAAAAGGCAGGACAAGAAACAATGAAACAAGAAACAATGGATGGAAACTAATCAAGGAGAGAAGCAACCTGGAATTAAGGAGCAATTAGCTAGCAGTGAGAACAGTTAAAAAGTGGAAGGGCTTGCCTTAAGGAGTTGTGGGTTTGGAGGCTTTTAAGATGAGACTGGACAGCCACTGTCTGGAATGATATAGGGTCTCCTGCTTGAGCAGGGGGTTGGACTAGAAGACTGCTAAGGTCCCTTCCTATTCTGTTGTTTAAAACATGTATACAGTGTCCTATCTTATAACCAACTCCAAAAATAATTGTTATTATAAAACACCTCAAAGCAGCAGGGGCTATTTAGATTTCTGTGGACAGAAAAGTCTGTAACCAGGATGCTATTGCTCAGAAGGTTAGCCCTGATGCCTATCAAAATTTGAAGAACAACTGAGGCTCAGAATGATGACTTCCCAACTGGGAATGCTGGTTTTGGTTTCGGAAGAAAGATTCTGCTACTAATATCAAATAGAAGTCAGGTGTCAGTCAGCAATTTTGGATTCCTTTGCTTTTGTTTATTCATTGGGTCTGCAAAGACTTCTTCCTAAAGAGACTCTTTTGATTTCCTTGTTGGAAATTTATTACCCTAGTGCTATGAAAACTAAATCTATCTACAGGGTTGTCAGACTACAGAACTTTTCCCATTCAATCAACAACAGTTGGATTCCCAATTTCTCTGCAAGGGCATCGGGTGCATCCTGAATCCAGCAATGCTGCAACTTCCTCCCCCTTCCCTCGGCTGGAGATAAACAGTTTCAGGGGTAGAGTGATTGGTTCAATTGGGTTGCTTACCAGCAGGTCGTCTTCTGGATCGCTTTCGGACTGGCTCAGGTCCCCTTGGAGTGTTGGGGATTCTTCCTTTGGGTTGGGGGGGATCGGAATCCCACAACTACTCGGCTTCTCAGGCCAGTCTCCTTTCCTCGAGGGCTGGATGTTCCAGATTTCCCCCCGATGGGTGGTCTGGCTTTCTCGCAGGGGTTTTTGAATGGCATTGTGCTGTGTGGTGTCCCTCCTTTCCACACTTAAAACAACCAGACGTTCTTGGAGTCATGGTGGTTTGGAGTTTGAAAATTTCCCATTTCCCCTGGGGTGGGGATATTTTCTGAAGCTTGCCACTGCAGTACCGATTACGAGTCATATCTATCTCCGCCTCCTCTGCCATGGTGTACCATTCATGCAGGAGGTTTGGAGCCCCACAGGCCAGGCAGGCAGCATATAGGTCATCATTGAGTCCATCTTTGAACCAACAGACTAGGATATCCTCTGGCCAGTTGACTCAGCTGGCCAGGTCATGAAATTCCTCGGTGTATTCAGCTACTGGGTGACGGCCTTGCTTTACGACTCTGATGCGGTCACAGGCTTTTCTATCAGCGAGGAGTTTTTCAAAGTGGCGGCTTAGGGCCGTCATGAAGCGATCGAGGTTCCATAATTCTGGGGCATTGACGTTGTGGAGCACCACCATCCATCTGGCTCTTCCCCTTCAAGGGCCAGGGTGATGATTCGTACTCAGGACTCCTGGGTTGGGAAATTCCACCCGTATTCTTGCATGTAGGTAAGTACTTGTGCCAGGAAAAATCCCAGTTTCTGGGGGTCTCCATCAAATTTTACTCCCAGGGGTGGGACCTTCCTCTGCAGTGTATGTCTCTGGGTTGGTCAGGTTTAATCCCCTGTTCTGGGGCGATTAGCGGTCGGGTATCTGGTATGGGTGCTGGTTCTTTGGCTTGTCCTGCTGCCCGATCATTCTCATCTGGATCCAGGGTGGCGGCTCGAGTTCTCTCATTTTCTGGTTCCCTCACTCTCCTGCATTGGCGTCCTGATGCATCCCTCACCTCGAGGTTCTCCAGGCTTCCCTCATGAGGCGATTTATGTACAGTCTCAGTCGGTTGTCAGCTGGTGGCTCCTCGCCCTATTCTTCCTGATCCTATAGGGCCTCCACTCCAATTACCACCCGGGTTTACGATTACCCTGGGTGAGGGTTACTCACCTGGTTCTTCCATCCCAGCTGTCTCTTTTTCCTACACCTATAGACCACCAGGGCTTTATGGAGGTTTCTCAGGCAGCTTCGCTATCTTTGATGGGGTGCATTGAGTCAGTGTCTGGCTGGGTAACTGTCAACGTTTCTCCCCAGCATTCGGCTTCCCCTTGATCCTTGCTGTATTCAGACATTTTTCTTTTTTTGCAGGGTCCCCTCAGTAGAGTGAAGGTTTTTTTTTAAATATTTCCTCTCCAGGCTGACCTCTATTGCAGATGCTGCTTTATGTCAGGCTACAGAACTTTTCCCATTCAATCAACAAGAATGAACTTCTGAAAACCAAACGTAACAAAAGGAATCCTTTATTGAGATGAGACAATTCATGTAGGAGTTCAAAGCAGCATCTAATGTCTCTCAGGCATACCGGGATAGATAAGGGAGTTTAAGACCCCTCCCCTTCTCTTGATGTGTATTTAGTAAAACAAAGAGCCAACATGTTTATTCCCCCCCCCCCTTCTGAGAATGATCTTTTTTGAGGTTCCCAGGAGACATCTCCCAGCAGGAATTTTCATGGTCTCTTCATCCTGTGGCTGTCTCTTTCAGAGGTGACAGGTTTCCCGCCATCTGGTTTTTGTCCCTCCATAGTGTATCATGGGTTATCCAAATTCAATATAACATTTAATATATCCATGTTACATCAAAAAGGATTTCTTATACCAACTCCCCCCCCCCTTTTTCTTTCATGAAGAATGGCAGATACACAGATCTGACAAGGGTTGTTTTAAATCCCAAGTTTGGGGGACTTTGGGGGAGGAAGGAATCTGACATTTCTACTGGTCTTTCTAAATGGTGAAAGAAGTTCTGTTCCATCTTCTGTGTTAGGAAAAGTATATTTTATAACAAAGTTACTTTAGTCAATTGTTTTAAGTGACTCAGTCCTAGACATCATCTTGTTTGCAATACTGGTTGAAGAGAAATGTACATACAATTGCAAGCTTTTCTCTTTTTCTTTCCATGTTAGTGATTGGACGAAAAGTTAACCTTGCTGCACGGATGATGATGTTTTATCCAGGATTAGTAAGCTGTGATGCCCTCACTTATTCCAAATCTAAATTGCCTCACTACTTCTTTGAAGAGCTCCCGTTAGTTGAGATGAAAGGTGTTGTGAACCCTGGAACAGTCTATCAATTTCTTGGTATTACAGAGAAAGCGTAAGTACAATTTTGTCTGTGGATAGCTGCACAAGAAAAATAGTTTACTCTGGCTACCTAAACCTTTGAGTACAGAATACTGTAGGTTCAAGAAATATCCCTTTTCAGCAAAGCAGGTCGTTCATTTTGCCTCTACTGCTGGAGGATGATTTCTCACATCCTCTTGTTATGTCTACAGGAAGAAAATGTATCCTTTCTTATATCTGCTTCAGTGATTCTGGAAATGCAACTTACATCAAAGGCATTTTGCTTTCACTGTTTCTTCTCTCAGGCACAACAAAACTTTGCTCATTTCTAGTTGGATATTCTGTATGTTCAACAAAAGAAATAGCTTAGAAGGATACATCTTTTTTCAGCTGTAAGTATGTAGATCTGTGGAGATGGCAGGTACAGCGTGATGGGATGCTTCTCTGGAAAAGGGAAAGATGGTGGTGTGACCCTTCCTCAAGATTTTCAACCTGGTAGTTTTAAATAATTACTTGGCTGCTTCCAGCCTTTCCATTTTGGAGAGGGGAGTATTAAGAGTATTGCACTTGCAGAGAATTTAGGAGGAAATGGATTTTCTGTACTTTCTCAGCCAGAGTTCAAGAGCCAGGTACAAACAAAATATACGCGGAACACCTCTGTGGCAAGAATGGAATAGGATAAGTGATTAATTGCTCAATTGTTGATTGAATACAATTGATCATCGTATCCTTCTGGACCATTGAGAGTTACAGGTACACACACTATCCAAAGCAAAACAAGATGACATAGAAAATATGCTCAAATGGATGCCTAAAGTCGATAATGGCTATTACTGCACCATTTTGAAGAAACTGTTATGCAAAACTGGGGTTAAATAGTAATTCTCGGTATTAAGACATGCATTTACATTCTTACGTTTAATGCTGAACCTTCAAATAGTAATTTACAAGCATTTTATGATCACAAAAACAAATTTAAGTGAATATCAAGTTGAATTCAGTGCTTTTTAAAAAAAATTTTTTTTATTAAACTTTGTAATTCTCATTTTTATGGTGCAACTTAGTGTGATAAGGTTCTATCTGATATTTGGAGCCTCCAGTATGACCCCAAGATGAGTCACCATTGGCCTCATTTTTTTTCCTTGCATGCACTATTTGTTGGTAGGCTCACATACCAATTTTTCCATCTATGTACAATGGGGTAACCAGTACAATTTTTCAAATGTTTAAGGCTCATTTCCTGAAAAATGGTCACAACGCACATAGAACCCTGTAATTCTGAGGTAGCGACTTCTCTATTCCTGATTTAACAATTACATGAAGCCGGGGAAGATGAAGTATTGGCATAGAATCAGATATCCTCAGTAGGAAGATGATATTTAACTGTATATCTTAAATCTGGGCTGATCAGGAGGTGTGGCTGACATTCTCTTTCAGTGCCTGAAAACTGTGGGATTCTGGATGGGGAAGAATAGTCTCGAATTTAATCCCAGAGAGATGGAATGGCTTTGATTCCAAAGATATTTCACCTTTAGTTCTGAACAGGATTGTATAGGGTTGATTGATAATTTGACTTATGGCTCCTGCTTGAAAAACAGGTGTGGCTATAATTAAGAGGACTTCTGAACAGATCCAGCTTGTACACCAATTATAGTATTTCCTGGATTAGGAATCTTTGCTCATAATCATTTCTGTATTAAGCACCTCTTGTTGGGGCTGCCCAATCTGGAAGGTGCAACTGGTCTGGAATGCAATAATTCTTCAACATTAAATCATTTAAGCAAAGGAGGTTCTTGTCCTAAAAAGACAAATGTGATATACTATTAGTAATTCTTCTAAGGCAATTTGGGAAATGTTAGCATAAACTTCATTTTCTTCTCTCTCTCCCCTTCTCTCCACCCCCATTTTTTAAAAATAGAATGATTTACAAAGCATATTTAACCAAGGAGAGATCTGAACTTTATCCTTTACTAGGTACGTGAACTGATCTATTGTAACATAGCAATTAATTATTGGAATGCTAGAATAAACTTGCTATTGATTTTTGAGATGTCTGTCTAATCTTTTGATTCAATTTAATCTGCATAGCTCTGCATAGCAACAAATATTTATGCTGCCGTTTCAATGATCCTTCTATGCATATCTTCAGATACATATTTACTGTATAATTCTATAGATGTCTACTTAGAAATCAGAGCTGTTATGTTCAGTGGATAGTGGGCAAAACTATGGCATGTTAAAAAGTATTGCCAAGAAATGCACAGTTGCATGTATTCATACTCATTTATTTATTTAACAAATTTATATAAATATACATAAAACTGTAAGTAAAAGCAAAACAAAAAACAATAAACACTGAAGATTTTTAAATATTATGCTTGGATACACAGTATTTACATTATTATTTACATAATTATTTAATAATTACACAGCAATTATTATTATGGTTCATTTCACAGTCAGCCAGACTGCATTTTTTACATAATTATTATTTACATAATTATTTAATAATTACACAGTAATTATTATTATGGTTCATTTCACAATCAGCCAGACTGCATTTTTATCCACTTATCAAGACCTTCCCAAGGACCTAGGATAGGCAATTATTGATGTTTTATGGTTTTAGTGGTATCATTGAGTAAGCTGTTTGTAAATGACTGATGGTGAGTTTGTTAATGTTGGTGGTGTTCAAGTAATCCTTGAGTTGTTTTGGGATTGCAGCCAAGGCACCTATTCCTATTGGTACTCTCTTTGCTTTCATTTTACCACAGTTCTATTTCTATTTGCACAACTTTGTATTTTTTTATCTTCAATTCTTTCTCTTCTATTCAGCTATGTCCAAGTTCTGCTACATTTATTATCAGACTTTGTTGTTGTCTCGCGTATCGTCTGGAATGTTATGCAGCAGGTGCCTGTCTCTTTGAATTCTAAAGTCCCAAAATAATTTAGCTTCTTTATTTTCTATTATTTTCTCTATTTTATGATCTTATTTTTTATTTTATTTATTTAATTAATGTAAATTATTATTTATAGTCTTTTTCTTATTTATAAATACAACAATATGAAATCATAATGTCAGTTCTTTTAGCTGGTGTTGGCCTTCATAGGTATCAAGTTCTTCTCAATAACCTAGGATGTTGAAATGTATCATAGTAGTATATGTGCGGATCCAAGCAGCATGGCCTATTTTAATTGACAGTTGGAAATATTGTCAATATGCAAATTTCCTAAGTGCTGTCAAAGATTTTTTTTTTTTTTTGATATGGCATTTGTGTGTCAATAACCACTGGGACCATCACCACCACTAGAGCATCAAGATCACAAGAAATGATACTTCCACCTTATACTGCATTAGTGAGGCCACACGTAGAATATTGCATCCAGTTCTTAGAATGTTCAATATTCTTAGAATATTGCATCCAGAGTTTTAAAGGAGCTGGCAGAGGTCATCTCAGAACCACTACAACATATCTTTCAAAAATCCTGTAGCACCGAGGAACTACCAGAGGACTGGAAAAGAGCTAATGTGGTTCCCATCTTCAAAAAAGAAAAAAAAAACAGGCCCAGGAAACTATAGACAATCAGCTTAACATCAATACCTGGGAAGATACTGGAAAAGATAATAAAAAACATATCTGCCAATATCTAGAAACAAGTAAAGTAATAACTTGCAGTCAGCACGGGTTTGTTAAAAACAGATCATGCCAAACGAGTCATATTTCATTCTTCAACATAGTGACTAAATTATTAGACCAGCAAAATATGGTGGACATAATATATTTAGATTTCAGCAAGGCATTCAACAAAGTAGACCACAACCTACTTCTTATTAAGTTAAAAAAAAGTGGAATAGATAGCACCACCACTAGATGGACTCGCAACTGGCTGACAAACCATACTCAACGAGTAGTCCTTAATGGGTCTAAGTCTACATGGAGGGAAGTAAGCAGTGGGGTGCCACAAGGTTCCGTCTTAGGCCCAGTATTCTTCAATATCTTCATTAATGACTTAGATGAGGGAATAGAAGGGGAACTTACCAAATTTGCAGATGATACTAAGCTGACAGGAATAGCTAACACTCAAGAAGATAGGCTCAAGATTAAGATGGATCTTGACAGACTAGAACACTGGGCCATATATAACAAAATAAAATTCAATGTAGAGAAAAGTAAAGTCCTAACTTAGGCAAGAAAAACCAAAAGTACCCATATAGACTGGGTGAAACCAGGCTCAATAGCAGTAACTGTGAGAGGGATCTTGGAGTCTTAGTGGACAACCAGCTAAATTGGAGCCAGCAGTGTATAGCAGCAGCCAAAAAAGCTAATGCAATCCTAAATTGCATTAACAGAGGGATACAATCAAGATCAAGTGGGGTACTAATACCACTCTATAAAGCCTTAGTAAGACCACACCTAGAGTACTGCATCCAGTTTTGGTCACCACATTGTAAAAAAGATGTTGAAACTCTAGAAAAAGTACAGAGAAGAGCAACCAAGATGATTAGGGGACTGGAGACTAAAACATATGAAGAATGGTTACAGGAACTGGGCTTGGCTCGTCTAGTGAAGAGAAGGACCAGGGGAGACATGATAGCAGTCTTCCAATATTTGAGGGGCTGCTACAGAGAGGAGGGGGGTTCAAGCTATTTTCTAAAGCACCTGTAGGCCAGACAAAGAATAACGGATGGAAACTGAACAAGAAGAGATTCAACCTGGAAATAAGGAGAAACTTTCTGACAGTGAGAACCATCAATGGAACAGCTTGCCCTTGAAAGTTGTGGGAGCACCATCACTTGAGACCTTCAAGAAGAGATTGGACTGCCATTTGTCAGAAATGGTGTAGGGTCTCCCGCTTGAGCAGGGGGTTGGATTAGATGACGTATAAGGTCCCTTTGAATTCTGATTATCTGTTAATACCCTCAGTTCTTGTCACCACAACACAAAAAAGATGTTGAGACCCTAGAAATAGTGCAGAGAAGAGCAACTAAGATGATTAGGGGTCTGGAGGCTAAATTATATGATGGACCGTTAAGGGAAGTAGATATGTCCACCCTTATGAAGAGAAGAATTTGAATGACATGATAGCTGTCTTCCAGTACTTGAAAGGCTGTCCCACAGAAGAGAGTATAAACTTATTCTGTAAAGCACTTGAGGGCAATGTGTGAAGTAATGGGTGGAAGCTAAAGAGAGATTCAACTAAAAAGTAAGAAATTTCCTGACAAGGAGAACAATTAATTAGTGGAACAGCTTGCCTCCTGGAATTGTGGAATCACCATTGCTGGAGGTTTTCAAGTAAAGATTAGACAACCATTTGTCCGGGATGGATTAAGGTCTCCTGCATTGGGCAGAGAGTTGAACTAGAAGACCTCCAAGATAGGGGACCCTCTTTTCTCTGCTGCCCAACCTTCAACCATTGCTGATTTTATCTTTGACATAGACAGGGTTTATTGTGGAAAATCTATGGAAGAAGAACATGTCTGGAAGGAAATTGGTGAAAAGTGTCTCTAAAGAACCTCAGAAGAGGTCACAATATTATCTAAATATGGGCTTGTGATTGTTTTGCATGCATGTGTACACAGAGAGATAAATACAGAGAGATGTACATTTCTTTTGCTTAGTAACCATTATGAATATTCTAACAATGCAGTAATTATTCGATATAGTTTGTCATTCAAAAGCTAACTTATTTTGTGAATGTCTATTTTAGTATAAAACATAATTCTTTTGTTCTTTGTTTTCCTTTATTATTTTCTTCCAGGTCGCAAGAAGGAGACTGACATCTTTGAAAACTTACTGGAAAAATTTAAAGAAACTAAAATAAGCCATGTTATAATATATGAAGGCCTCATGGGATATGGAAAAAGCCAACTAGTAACTGAAATTGCCTATTTAGGCCAAGCTCCTGGGCAAAAGTTGGTGCTTTTACACCTGTTGATTACACATTTTTAGAAAGTTGCCTTTTTCTCTCCAATCTTTTCATTTTTCCCTGGTCCTAGCTCAGTTCTGAGCATTATAAGGATATTGTTTTGTGTCTACAGCCTTGAGCAATGACAAGTGTCAATGGTTTTAAAACACTATGGACCTTAAAGGAGATTACTAGAGGTTGATGGTATTTCTGTGATAAATTGTTTATTCATGGGTCTCTTCCTCACAGTTTTAGTAAAGGGCTTATCAGGTACAAAAGCAAAAGTATTTTTAAAATCCTGCTTTTTCAAAGTCCAACTTTTGTTTCCATAGAGTATAACACCAAAAATCATTTTCATTCTTTCTTAGATATTGACACAACATGGTATTTGAGTATCTTTTCTAAATCTTTCATTGTTACCCTACCAAGTGCTAGTATCTGTAGAATATTTGATTTCTGGTTTCTGGTGTGTGTGTGTGTATACACACAGAGGCAGTCCTTGTTTAATGACCATTTGTTTGGTGGTCATTCAAAGTTATGGTAGCGTTGAAGAAATAGTAGTTATGTCTGGTCCTCAAAATTATGGCCATTGCACTGCCCCCATGATGATATGATCAAAATTTGGGCAATTACAATCATAGGGAAGCTTCAACTCCTCCCACACACCTATCTCACTCTTTTGGCAGACTTGCACTTCATCATCATATGAGCCAGCAGTGTGCAGCAGCAGCCAAAAAATCCAATGCAATCCTAAATTGCATTAACAGAGGGATACAATTAAGATCAAGTGAGATACTAATACTACTTTATAAAGCTTTAATAAGAGCACACCTAGAGTACTGCATCCAGTTTTGGTTACCACATTATAAAAAAGATGTTGAGACTTTAGAAAAAGTGCAGAGAAGAGCAACCAAGATGATTGGGGATTGGAGATTAAAACATATGAAGAACGGTTACAAGACCTGGGCATGGCTAGTCTAGTGAAGAGAAAGACCAGGGGAGACATGATAGCAGTGTTCCACTATTTCAGGGGCTGCCGCAGAGAGGAGGGGATCAAGCTATTTTGCAAAGCACCTGTAGGCCAGACAAGAAATAATGGATGGAAACTGAACGAAGGAGAGATTTAACCTGGAAATAAGGAGAAATTTTCTGACAGAACAATCAACCAATGGAACAGCTTGCCTTTGGAAGTTGTGGGAGCTTCATCACTTAAGACTTTCAAGAAGAGATTGGACTGCCATTTGCCAGAAATGGTGTAGAGCTTCCTGCTTGGGTGGGGGGTTGGACTAGATAACTTACAAGGTCCCTTCCAACTCTGTTAATCTGTAAACAATTTCTGTGACCTTGCTGCCCTGCACTCCACTGGCCCTGCACCCACAGTTGACCTTTACTATCTTCTTCATGTTGCTGCTGCTGATAATGCAAAGTGAAGGACAGAAGGGCTGGCAGAGGCAGCAGAGTGCAGGGTAGCCAAGTGGACAGAATTGGGAGGGGGGAGTTGAAAAGGAGGCTGTCTTTTACTTTATCAAGGCTCAAGGCTGTGAGAGACCAAAGCAGGAATGACTTGGATCGGGATCTGTCCCTCCCTAATAACTGCCTGGGATTTGAATAATGACTGCAACTAGAATTGCCAGGATTGTTGTCACAAAGCAGTCACATGATACATGCTGAATTAATAAGAGTATCTCATCTCATCTCCTTTGCTGATCAGAAACCAGTCTATTTTGCCATGTTTCTGTCTGTACTGTGTCTTCCTGAACTGTCTATAAGAACATGGGGACAATAACCTGTTCTAATGTTCCCAGTTTCGTAAGCACATTCCACAGCTTGACATAGTCAAAACAGTTAAAGGCCCTTCAATGAATATTGACTGCTTTTGAATAATCTTTGACTTTATCATCCAATATATATCACCAATAATAATATCTTGTTCCTCAATCTTTTTAAAGCCAATTTGGAATCTCCTTTCCATGTATGCTTTGTATTTCATTATTAACAAATATTAATTCCTTCATCTTAATATTCTTGGAGGCTTTAATTCTGGTAACTCTAAATTTTAGGTTAGCATATACTATGTAGCTTTTGACTTGAATGATATATTTATTAACTGATGCTTAGTACGCTTAGTCATGATTCTTTGAATAAACTCATAATTAGCTGAGTTTGTCCAGTATATTTAGCTCAGATTAAATAAAATGTATTATAACTTTGCATATGTGTAAAACAGGTTCACATTTTTTTCACCCAGGCTAGAAGTAAAGTGATACATGCATACACACACACACACACACACACATTAGTTGCACATATATTATTGTTAGTAAAGCTGTAAAGGAGGAAAGGAACCCTAATCCTAACCTTAACCCTAACCCTCTGGATTTTGCTTCACTTGTCATTGCTGTTTATAGCGCTCAACTAAGTTTCGAGGCTGTGAGCCAGCACTGTTCAAAGACATTTCCATGGTCATGTAGCCAACATGATGTTACAGAGTGCTGTTTCCTCTGCACTGAAGTGGTACCTATTTATCTACTTGTATTTGCATGTTTTCCAACTCCTAGGTGGGCAAGAGCTAGGTGAAGAAGGGTGCTTAGCCCCATCACATGGCACTTGGGTCTCAAACCTGGCTATTGGCTTTCCATCTGACAAGTCCAATGTCTGAATCGTAGAGCCATCATGCCAATGTAGTAAGGTCTTAAAGTAAACTTTAAATAGGATACATAGGCAGATCCTAATTGGAAGGAATTGTCTGTCTTTTTATTAATATCTTGCGTGAATCAAAATTATTGCAGAGAGCTAAGGAAATGTTTCATTGACCCCACAAATGTTCAATCAAACAAGGTGAGGTCAGTGCTTGATATTCAGATGAGAGGTATGAGCTGCTAGAAACTCTTCCAGATATTATTAGATGTCTGAAGACACTTTCTTATTTAATGATGTAGGAAAAAATTCTTCAAAATAATCACTCCACTGCAATCAATGAACCAAAATTCAATGCTGATATGATTTCTTTGTTTTAGCTGCACAAATTGAAACAACAATCTGCTTCTGATTGATTACTTTCAAGTCAAGATTTTCATTTGTCCATGTAATTAAGCAGGGTTGTGGCAATGGAGCTGACAAAGATAAATGCATGGCAAAACTTCTTTGCTGTCCGGACATTGATGGCAATGTTCCTGGGGGTGGATGTCTGTAAAACCTATGATGCAAGGCAGTATATCCTTCTGAGCAAGTTGCGTGGAGTTATAGAAGAACAATATCTATGCCTTTTCAACAACCTTTTTCATGTTAAGGTAAGAATGGAAGATCTTTTCTCTTATGAATGCTTTGCATTGAAAAGCAGGTAAAGAGACAGTATCAGAGAAAGGTAATATCAGATAAGATAAAACAGATCGCTTGATAAAGCTGCACAGCTTTAGATTTGCTCAGAATGTCTAATTATGAAACAATTTACAAAATAAACATTCTTTTTATACTATTAATCAAATAATTATGAGATTGGTTTCTTTTTCTGGTTAGTTTCCTACATCAGAAGTGGTTTCTCAAATGGATAATGACAGAAAGAATAAGGAGATTGAAACGATGCTTTTAAAAATTCTGATTAATGTAAGTAAATAGTTTCCTTCCGCATAACATGGTCTATAGAGGATAAAGGCATGATTAGCTTCTCAATACAATCCTTGCTTAATTGTCACAATTGAGACCAGCTACTCCATTGCTAAGTGATGCATCCTTAAGAGAGACACCACGTGACTGCCTCCTTAGCAATGGCAGCTCTGGCAGTCTTTATTGCTATTATGAAGTGCAACCCATGTATTGTAGTTGTTAGGCAAAGATCTGCCCTGATTCAAACCATTCCTATCTTGGTCACTTGCAGTCATGAGCCTTTTTTTTCAAGTGAAGGGAGTGCCTCTTCTTCAACTCCTGTAACTCTGTTCCTTTGGCCACTCTGCATAATGGCCCTTTTTGGCAGTGGTGGTTAAACTGGCTGAAGTAGAAACTCTGGACCTTTAGCTCTCTCAGCCTATCATGACTCACAAGTGTCTTCTTCAATGCCTACTGCCACCGAGGAGTGACACCTCAAGTCCCATGCCAGGCAAGCCATCTTGTCACCTCACCATAGTGTAAAGCCCCATTGCCATATTGTAGTATGGTCACTTGGGCCAGTGCCATGATGAAAAATCTCACTGCCATAGTGTGAAGCCCCATTAGTGCACTGTGACATTAAACCACAGTTGCTGCTGCCATGTGCCATACTGCCCCAGCATTGCAGCATGAGGCCCCAGCCCTAATATAGTGAGAAGTGTTGCAGTAGTAGTTGCCACTGCAGTACAACATCCCAGCCACCCTAGCATTCCTATTGCCATAAGAACATACAAATACAATTATCGTGTCAAGAAGAAGGGCAGGAAGAGAGAAGTCAGCTGGGGGCAGCAGTCTGTGTGTGAGGAGCTGTAAATGCAGGCAGGCCCAAATTTTAATTATGTGACCTTGGGGGCTTGGCAACAGTTGTAAATTTGAGGACTAAACATAAGTCCATTTTTTCAGTGCCATTGTAACTTTGAAGAATTGCTGAATGAATGTTAAGTTAGGACTAACACTCCTGATAAACATAGTGAGTTTATCCTTTTCGCAACAATCTGTACTTATTTTATATACTTTACTGAATGCAAGTGAATCCATTTTGTAGATCAGATCCAAGAAAACACTGATAGCCAATTGAGATCTGTAGTAGGGGTCCAGTTCTTTCTATTAACTTCTGGCAATATCACCAGTTTTATTTAAGGCATGGAAACAACCTTGGTCATAAAAACAAAGAATGGCAAATTCTTAGAGTGTAGTTTAGCATTAGTAGAAACATTTATAATAGCAGTAAGTAAAAATTCTAAAAGCTGTGATGACAACAATTCTAATTATAGTACCATCTTAATATGCACAGTATGTGTGTTTTTTTTTTTTTTAGGCAGCAGAAAAGGAAGTCCTCATTTTTGCAATTGATGAAGCTCAGTTTATTGATAAAGCCTCTTGGGATTTCCTGGACAATTTACTTAAGAATGTTCCAATCTTTGTTGTTATGGCTTTGTCTCCTATCAATCACAAGGGACGAACACTTTGTTCCAGTGCAACCCAAATCCTGAATAGTCCAAGCACAACTTTTATTAAGCTAAGGGAATTAAGTCCTTCAATAATTATTCAGAAAGCCTGTCAAGACCTTGGAGTGGTCAGTATCACCAGGGAGCTTGAAACGTAAGTAGAAGATGCCTGCCCAGGCAATCTTTTAGCTGTTCCTATTAGGATGAAGGCAAAGAGAATCAGCAGGAAATGCAAAGTGTTATCATTTAAATCAACAAATCTGAAACTTTTATTTCAAGCAAACTACCTGACTTCTTCTAAGCTGAAGGGGCTTTCTTCCTCAATACCAAATTTCTTTGCTATTCTCTCCTTGGGCCAAAGTCTATAATCTTTCTGACAGCAGATTATCAGTTATATACTCACTTGTGGAAAGCTTACCCTGAGCTTATAGACATAGATATAGATGTATCATGCCACATGATCTATTTAGAAAGGGAGAATTTTGGTTAAGTGTGTACAGAAGTCAAAATGTGAGTTTCCTCAATTAAGTATTTGTATCAGTTGAGGAATTGTTCCACTGTTAGGATACTTGGCAGATTAGGCACCAACAGCCACAGGCATAGTAGCAGTTCTGATAACAGTGAGATTCTTTTCTTCGGGAATCAGTATCTGTAAGCAGTCTGTCTAACTTTGTTTATAACATTTTATAATATTAAATATTTAACAAGATCATCTATAAAATACTTCAGAAAGAGTAGCTCAGGCGATGCCCGTAAAGCACTATTTTGGCATCATACATAATACAAAGATTAATGCAGTTTCTTTCATCTTGGAAGTTAGAGAGATTTGCAAACCATGCCATTGTGGATTGTTTAAGAAATCCTACACTATGGCAATTAATGAGAGCAATTTCTACAGTGCCTGTTTTCATCTCTGGGATCCCTAGTAGTGAACATGTAGTTGCAATATCACGACCAGTTCTAGGTAGCCTCATACACAACTACTACATTTTCAGAAGCCCAGGGATGCCTGGAATTTATTATGTTTACAACATGCTTGCTGCTGAAACGGAAGTTGAAAGCACAATTGTAATGTAGCATTAGGCATTACACTATGTCTTAAACCTGACATTCATCCATGATCATTGTTCTCCCTCTATTTGCCTGCCTACCTGCCCTCACTCTTTCTCTTTCTCTTTCCCTCCTTCTCTTTCCACATTATTTATAGATTTTTAATACAAAGGAGTCATGGAAACCCATTTTACTGTGAAGAACTTCTCCGAAACCTCCACTTAAACAATGTGCTTCAATTCCATGTGCTGGAGGAAGATGAAGAGAAAGAGGATGAATGGGACAGTCTTTTTAGTAAGCTACTGATTATTGGCTATCAATATAGTATAGCTTCATAGCAATTCTCAGTTTATGAATGATGTGGTATATTCAGATTGCATCAGAATATCTGATGGAAATAGTGTCACAGATCTAAAATATTCAGCAAGAGAGCAGCTAGTTATTCAATAAATCATAACTATGGCATCACTCTTCTGTTACACAGATGAATACTTAATAGTCACCAAAATACCAGAAGGTATGTCACTATGTCTTGCTTCCTGATATCCTATTAGAACTTTTATCAGTGAAGCTCATAGTTCAGATCCTTCTTTCCTTCTTTCCCCAGCAATTGTAACATACATGCAGCCATATCATTGGAAAAGTTGTAGTAAAAATGTTCAATCTGTTTTTGTTTTTTTTAGTTTTCCAGGATGGAAAGATTTCCACATATACAGTGGAACCTCAGGGCGGGAATGCTTCTGTTCGCAACCAAATTAGGTGATGACCAGAATTTTTGCTTCTGTTATGGTTCTGTTCACGAACAGATCTTTGGGTGGCGACCAAGCAAACCTGAAAATCGCCTGCTGTGGTGATTTCTCCTTTAGCGCCATTTTTGTTTTTGTTTTGGTCCGCACATGCACAGACGGTCGTGTTTCCAGTCACGACCAAATCAGGTTGCGACCGTAATCCTGGAACCAATTACAGTCACAACCTGAGGTTCCACTGTAGATGCTATAGGCTTAATAAACCTTGAAGCATTCAGTTCTTCTGAAAAAGCTTTTTGAATGAGAAGTGAAATAACTTCAAGGAAAAAACAAGGAAGCCAGCTGTCTTTTGAAAAGCACCTTTGGTACAACCCAGTTTGTTTTATTGATATAAACTGGGGAATGTTAACCTTTGCAGTAACCCCATGTGATGTTTGAATATTAGGAAAACACATTCACATTTGGTTTGGTTTGAGTTTTGGTCAGTGAAATATAGTAATGATTAGTAGATAGTAAAAACCTGCTGGCTTTAATCTTGCATAGATTTCACAGTAGCAAATAGGAACCTAGCTCCTGCTATTACTGGCAGCTTTTTAAATTATAATGTTAAATGATAATATTAAAATAGTGATTTTAACTATTGCAACTTTTTAAAATAGCCATCTGAATGTTTTCTTGGAAGAAAATAATATTAATACTAATACTAAAATATTTACGATTCTCCACTATAAGCCACTACTGTTCTCAAGACTCATGCATCCAAAATGTTAGACGAAGAGACTGAATTATATATTTGCACAGTCAGGCAAAATGTGAAGCTTACCACCATCAGTCTTCCTCCAACATTAAAAGGTACGTAATGAAGCCAGACATTCTGAACACAAAACTTCAGATAGCACTATTTTACCAAAGGCCATGGTGAGTTTCCAACATTTGAAATCTTATTTTAATTATTTCATTGTAGGCGCTGCCTAATTCCAAACTGAATCTAAGTAACTCACAATATTATAATAATAATAATAATAATAATAATAATAATAATAATAATAATAATAATAATAATAATAATAATAATAATAATAATAATAATAAAAATAAAAATAATAAAAATAATAAAAATAATAATAAAAATAATAATAAAAATAATAATAAAAATAATAATAAAAATACAGAATAAAAAGGATGAAATCTGATCATCCTATACAAAAACAGAGACAAAATTCTATCCAACAAGGGGTTTCAACCATCTTTACTCAAGGCCTGGGAGAACAGTCAGGTGTTCAAGGCCTAACAGCCAATTGAAGATTTCAGGGCAGATCTCCTTCCAAATGATGCCATGACACAAAAGGCTTTCTTAGTGTTAATAGATGGCACTGTATGAAGGAACATGGAGTGTGCCAACTCTGTCAGCATACGCATATGTAGTTAGACAAAATAACATTATTTTTGTAAGTTCAAGGTCATGCTATTGTGCGCATACGTGAGGGGAAGTCTTCAGTTGGGATGGACAATGATTGGGGCATGTGATGTGATGATGAGTGTGGGGGACTGGATTTGTAGTTTTGATTATTGCAAGGAAGCCCAAACCCAGCATCCAGACCTGACCAAATCTTTTGTAGCTGATGCCAGTGATGTGGCCAGGCTGGTCATTGGGCAGCTGGAAGCCTGGCTCCTGCACCGGTTCCACAATCAAGGCCCAGTACAGCTGCTGGAGGCAGAAAAGCTCCACGGAAGCCTCCAGACACCAGCTGGGTTGCCAGACACGCTGTTAGAGGTTCCCCTCCCCACAGAAAAGAGCGAGGAAATTCTGGCCAAAGAAGGCCTTCCCGAAAAGGCAAATGAAGAGGAGGACCCCATGGTGAGTGCTACCATTCCCCCCTTTACAGTTAAAGTGAAGTTGGTGGTGCCTGAGACTGGGGAAGTTGGGGAGTTAGAAGCAGTAATAGACACAGGATGTTCCAGATGCCTGATTTGGCTCCCTATAGTTGAACAATTTGGGATTCCCCCAGTTGTTCCAGTTACTATCTAAATAAAAAAAAACTTTTGAGTGATGTCGGTCTCAGAGTTATTGGGTGGAGTGGAGGTTTGCTGGAATGCTGACATTATCCTGAATCACTAAATAACTACCAGCACCCCGAAAGGGGGCTGTCCAGAGTGCTGAGCCCCAGCACTGACCCAAAGTTGGAGCAGTGCAAAGACTCAGTGAAGATGGAAGAAAACAAGGAATTTACAGAATGTGCGGTGGGAATGGACACCGGAGGATTGATTGAGACTCTGTGTCCCCTTTTGGAAGAATTTGTGCAAGCAATTGAAGCTGCAGAGGAAGACAGAGGCTAGGCTCTCGGCCCAAGGAAACGGATTCCTGGAAAAGCTGCTAGACTGAGCTGAATCCAGAGATGGGACCGGAGGAGAAGCTGCCTGAATACTTTTCCTATTCCAGCCCTTTGATGTCATCCCAAGGACTTTCCTCAGCAGTCCATCCAGCACGTAACGGGGCCTCTGAAAGAATGAATGCTATGGTAAATTAAATGCTATGTAAATTATCAACAGAAGAATTGGGCAGATCTATTACCATTTCCAGAAGTTGCTTACAATAATGCAGTACACAGCAGCATGGGCTTAACTTCTTTCCAAACCACTACCAGGATGGATTTTGTCCCCATGCCAGAGTTGCTTAGGGAACCCCCAACATCCATGTCTTTAATGGATTGGATTAAATCATTAAGGAAAGATTGGGAAAATACAAAAAAAGCTCTAGCAGAAGCCACTGAGGAATATAAAAAACAGTCAGACAAACATAGATCTCTCCAACCACCATTTAAAGTGAGGGACAAAGTATTTTTGTCAACTAGGTCTTCCGGTTTGCAGGGCTTCAGTGGCAGGCAGGAATCCGCAATCGTGCATGGTTTCTGCCTGGGCTCGCCGCTGGAGCACCCCGAGCCAGCTGGCTTCGGGGCTAAGCCACCCCGTAGAGGTGGTGAAGATGGGGGAGATCACCAGCAGGGTCAACCAGAGCCGCATCTCTCCTCCTCAGCTGGCCAAACTCCTTTTCCTGAAGGCGGTAAGAGCGGCGGTCAGAAATGGCCGCCTCAAAGAAGCACTCAACTGGAAAAGAAAGTGCAGGAGGAAGCTAAGAAGTGAAAGTTTTGGCTGACTGGGATAAAAAGCAATGACTAATTTAAATTTTTATAAAAGATAACATCGCTCCCAAAGAAGAGTCGGAAGCAGCGAATAAAAGTGAAATGGGAAAGTTTTTTTTTCTTCACTCTCCTTCCTCACGTTGACAACGAAGAGAGCTGAATAAGAAATCGGAAAAATCCGCTTTGGCACCAACAGGTAATTAAACTGGAAATATAATTAAATGCCAAAGGGACAATAAAGATTTCTGAACACTAAAAAATCCTTTTTTTGGGAAGGGAGAGGAAAAGAATAAGGCAGGATTTGGAAGGAGGAGTCTGCCTGGAATTCAAAAGAATTTAAAGTTAAATCTTAATAAGACTTCTAAAAAATACATTTTAACTGGAACTTTGCAACTAAATAGTAACCCCAGGAAGAGAAAGTGAAAAAAGAAGAAAGTGTTAAAAGAAACAGCTTGTGTGTATTTGGATTGCTTGGTGACTTTGGGATATCTGGAAATTATATTTGAATGACTAAAAACAATTGGGTGGTTGTTTAAAAAAATTCTACAATGACATCACTTCTGGATGAACTGAAAATGGAATTTAAAAAATATAAAGAAGAGGCACAAGAAGGGAAGGGCTCCTTTGGCTCCGTTTTTCAATTCTTAGAAATGGCGATCTGTGTCTATAAGAAACAACAAGAAAAGACTGTGCAACAAGAAGATTGGGACAAAGAAGAAGCCATCTTTAATGAACAAGTAACTCTATCTGGGGAAGAAAGGGGAAAGGGGGGAAAGAGAATGGAGAATTTAAGATTTAAAAAAACAGCCAAAAAAGGGAAAAATAATGTGAAAAATGGATATAATGTTGGAAAGCAACAGAAAAGGGGAATACAGAAGAGGGAAATGGAGGTGGAGAGACAGGGGGGTAAAAAGGGGAGAAGAAGAAAGGGAAGAAGAAAGGGAAGAAGGAAGGGAAGAGAAGTTACAAAGGTTTGGAGCAAGATGTAAAGAAACAGGATCTATTTAGAGATAATGGGTGAAAATTTAATTGAAAAAGAAATTCTGTAAAGGTACATAAGATTGTATTGTTATATTTGTAATAGAAATAATGTTAGAAAATTGGAAACAATATATGATTAAAAAGTGGGATAAAATAGTCAGTGTAATTCAGTGAAACTTTTGTGAACAAAATAAATGAAATGAAATAAATGAGAGAATTGAATTAGGAAGGAATGGGAACATTTTAACTACTCAATGTTTTATAAAATATAAGTGAAGTCGGGGGGAAGTAACTATGGAAAGTTTATAAGTGTTTCCATAGAAGTATGATACTTATTTGAAAAGCAATGTGTAAAATGTTTAAGATTTAAATGAATATTAATATTAATGATAGAATTGAATTGGTATGGATTGTTGTTTTAATTATATTATATATTTATAATTTTTTCTTTTTTAAAAAAATACAGTGTGTAGTTTTAGAAGGTACCAAGCAGAATCTGAACGGAAGTTATGTATTATATTAAGTGTTATAATTTTAGGGGAAAGATATAAAGGTGTCATACTCCAATTAGTAACTACAGGAGAAATTTTGTTTAATGAGAAAAGATAATAGACAGTTGAAACAGGACAGACAAAGAATATAAGTACAATGATTTGAATTGAGATGAAATAAATAAAATAAAATTAAGAAAGTTAAAAGAAGGGAGAAGCTATATAGAAAATGTAGAATGGTAATAAGATATGGAATGGAACATATAAATGAGCATGAACTTGAATTTGTGTCTGTATGAAGAGATATAACCCGGGATCATGCTGCTTTCAAAAAAGATGTTTTATGTTTTTATGTTTTATGTTTTGTTTGTTTATGTTTGTTTTTAAAAATCAATAAAATTTTCAAAAAAAAAAAGTATTTTTGTCAACTAAATATCTTAAGTTGAAAATTCCTAGTAGAAAGTTGGGATCAAAATTCCTGGGTCCATTCCCTATATCAAAGATAATCAATCCAGTGACTGTCCAACTTAGTCTCCCTCGGCTGTTGGGGAAAATACACCCAGTATTCCATAGTAGCTTGTTGAAGTCTGCTATTGGTTCCAATCTATGGCCGATACCTGCAGCTCCCCCCAAACGTCTGGTAGTACAGGGTGAAACACATTATGAAATTTTAAAAATCCTTGATTCTAGATTGCACAGAGGACAATTACAATATTTAGTACTATGGAAAGGCTACCCTTTGTCAGAAGCTACGTGGATGAAAAGTTGGGATATACATGCAGATAGATTGGTTAAACAATTTCATGAACAATTCCCTGACAAGCCAAAAGGTCCCCTTGGAGGGTGGAGAAGGGGTTAAGAAATGCATTAACCCCTGTTTGTGTTGTGTTTGTTGTATTTTTCAGGAAGTGATTTTTTTCAAGGGGGGATGCCTGTCAGCTTTGGAAGCCATATTGAAACCAGATGCTCCCATGCTGCCACATTTTGAGCCTGGGAAAGTGGAAGGGTGGAAGTTCTTGGGGTATATGTAGTTAGACAAAATAACATTCTTTTTGTAGTTCAAGTCATGCTATTGTGTGCATATGTGAGGGGAGGTCTTCAGTTGGGATGGATGATGATTGGGGCATGTGATATGATGATGGGACTGGATTTGTAGTTTTGATTATTGCAAGGAAGCCTGGAATTTTCAAAATCCATTTAGAATCCATTCAAAATCCAAGAAAGAAATGCTTAGACTCCA